CATAGAATGAATCATAAAACTGTAGGAAAACAGGGTGGGACGGGACATTTGAGTAATCATTTAATGTCATGTTGTAAAAATGAATTTTTGCATGCTAAAGCTGTAGCCGAAGCTAAAAAAAATGGTACCACCCTTCCTGAAAATGTAGGAGTAGATGGCTCTAATATGGTCCAAACACAATTAAATCCTTCTAATGTTTCTGGTTCTAGTATACAACGGTCATATAGTAGAGAAAAAGATCTTGAAGAATTAGCTAAAATGATTGTTGTTATGGGTTTGCCATTTAGTTTTGCTGAAAATCCCGGTTTTATTAATTATATTCAAATTGTGTATAATCCACATTTTAAAGGTTTTACTAGAAATACAATTAAAAAGGCTATCTTTGATTATCAAGCTCAACATTTTCAATATCTTCGTTGTTTATTTTATTATAACAATTGTAAAATAGCTATTACTTCTGATATGGGCCATAGTGTAAATGGTAATGATTATTTCACAATTACTGCGCATTGGATTGATGAAAATTGGACTTTGCAAAAAAGAATTTTAGGTTATAAATGTTGTGAAATGCATAAAACCGGTAGTTATATAGCTCAAACAATTATAGATGTTTTGCAAAACTATGGAATTTGTGATAAAATAAGTAGTGTCACATTAGATAATGCTTCTAATAATAGTAATGCTGTTGAAATACTAAAACCGTCTCTTTGCCCTATTTATATTGATGGTTTTCATATTAGGTGTGCTGCACACATATATAATTTGATTGTTAGAGATGTTATAGCAATATATGACGATGGTTGCACAAAAGTTGAAACTGCATGTCATTTTATTTTTAAATGTCAAGTTAAGTCTAGACGTAGAGATTTTGAAAATCGTTGTCGTGAATTTAATCTTCCACCTAGAAAAATTCCAAAATCAGTGTGTACAAGATGGAATTCTTTATTTGAAATGCTTGAAGTTGCTTATGAATATAGGAAACCTTTACAAATGGTTTGGAATGCTCATAATTCAAATATGACATATAGACTTGATGATAATGATTGGAATGACATAAAAGAACTTATAGAATTCTTAAAAGTTTTTTATTTAACTACAAAAAAATATCTGCACTTTATTATCCAACTATTTGCTCTGTTTTACCTAATATTTGTGCTATTTCTAATAAATTTTATAAATTTAAAAATAAACCAAGATTTGAACAATCTGTTAAGAAAATGATTGAAAAATTTAAAAAATATTTTATTCCTATTCCTCAAATTTATTTAACTGCTTGTTTGTTAAACCCACATTACAAAGATGAAGGTGCAGCACGAATGGTTGATAAAATATATTTTAATTTGGGTATTGATAGTGAAGATGATGAAACACCTAGTTGTCAAGATGTTAAAGATAGTATAAAAATTGAAGCTAGAAAATTGTACGACTTGTATAATAATTCTAATATAAGGAATGTAGTACATAACGAAGAGCCTCAAAGTTCTAGGAGTAGATATAATAATGAAGATGAAATTGATGATATGATAGATTGTATTATTGAACTTTCTCATAATGATAGAAATGATTTTGATGCATATATTAATCAAAATACAGAACCTACTACTATTGATCTTCTAGAATGGTGGAGCAATCGCGGCAAAGGATTTCCAAAACTACAACCGGTTGCTCGAGATGTGTTAGCTATTCAAGCATCTTCAGTAGCTTCGGAAGGCGCTTTTAGTGCAGCAAGATTTCAAATTGGAGAGCATAGATATTCATTAGCAGCAGATAGCTTGGAGATATCCGTACTATTTAGAGATTGGATTAATGGCGAGAGAAGGAGTTATGGTCGTCCACCTCTACCGACCAAATTTGAAAATGACGTTGATGAAATAATGCTAGATTTTAGTGATGACGGCATTGATGCAATGGAAGAACTAGCTAATCAACCAATTCCAGAGCATGTTACTAGAGAAATGTTAAATGATTTAAAAAAAGATTTCCTTGGTAGCATGAACTATTAAATTTAAATGTCTATTAGTATGAGTATAATAATTCGAGGTCTAATTCAAACAGAACCCTTCCTAGAAGGTGGCTGTGTAGATTAGATTTTTTAATACTCTACTAATATTTTGTAACTCAACTTGTACTATTTAATTAATATTAATAAAAGTATAGGCTATTCGCCTTAATTTTTTTTTATTATTGTCTTCAAAAGTTTAAATTTAACTTTTAATGTGTGAAATTTAAACTTTTATAGTTTTAAAGTTTTAAATTTTCAAATTTTTAAAGTGTGAAATTTAAACTTTTATAGTTTTAAAGTTTGAATTTAAATTTTCAAACTTTTAAAATTTAAACTTTAAAGTGTGAAATTTAAATTTTTATAATTTTATAGTTTTAAAGTTTATAATTCAAATTTAAAATTTCTAACTTTTAAAGTGTGAATTGTGAAATTTAAACTTTTTATAGTTTTAAAGTTTGAAATTTGAATTTAAATTTTCAAACTTTTAAAGGGTGAAATTTAAACTTTTATAGTTTTAAAGTTTGAATTTAAATTTTCAAAGTTTTAAATTGTGAAATTTAAACTTTTATACTTTTAAAAGTTTGAAAGTTTGTATTTAAAACTTTAAAAGTATAAATTTTTAAGTGTAATATTCCTAATTTTTTAATTTTAATAAAAAAATATAATTTATAACGGTTGGACCCGGTTTCCGGTCCGGTCCGGTCCGGTCCGTTACCGGTCCGTTACCGGTCCGGGACGGGTTCGGGTATTTTTTTCCGGAATTACCGGTTCCGGTCCGTCCCGGTTCCGGTTCCGTTCCGGCCCGTGGTGCCCGGTTCCGTTCCGGTTCCGGAACGTCCCGGTCCGGTAGTTCCGTTACCGGTTCCGTTGCCTAATCAAAATAAAACAATTCAGCCCTAACCACATCCACCAGCAACTAATAGCAGTAGTTCGCCGCCAGAAGAAATCAATCTCCTTGCTAGATAGATGCCAAACTTTTCGTCAATCACACAACAAACTTATACCCTTTTTTGCTTCCCCTATTCTAAGTTTAATTTTTGTGGGCTATTATTTTTGTAGTACCAAATTAATCGTTATATTACAAAGAAACAAATATCCAATCACGAATTGGCTGGATTCAATTTGAAAATTCGAATTCAAATTTTCATCTAAATTCGATCCATTCTAGGTCCAATTTGATCCATTATATCGTTATGCAAATCAATTTGTTTGATTTTAAAGTTTAAACAAACAACTATTTTCATTTCAATTTTGGAGCAAGCATAATCATAAGTAACAAAGTCATAAATTTTCTGGCTTAAATAACCAAGATATAATCATAAATGGCAAATCAAGAGCTTGACAACTTATGAGTTTGTAAGCATAATAGCATATTTTATTGATGCATACATACTCTACACGCTCAAAACAGATACTCTTGTATGCATGATCAACAATTTGAGTATCTTAACAGCCAAGGTGAGTGACGCTATGTTTTTTTACGGAAGTAAGTTAATCATCTTTATTTGGTATAGCACTCTCTCCATCTATTCTTGCGCCTAAATTTTATTTTAAAAAAGAACAAGGTACGTTTCACATATTAATCCAAAATTATGAATAACTTGGCAATCAATGCTAGTCCCCCGGCCCTCACTTTAAAACTTCAAAGTACCAATAACATTATTAGCTGCAACCTCAGTCGCTAGTTAACAAATTGGAAGATTCTCCCACTTCCAACCTCAAATCTTCTCCAAAGACAAACTATCCTCAAAGATTGAAGTACAAAACTAATTTAAAATGCGGTTGGTTTTATTCTACTCCACTTCTATTATTATATTATTATACATACAGGGAGGACAATTCAATTTCAACATCACCCCCTCCTCCGGACAGATTCAAGTAAAAGAAAAAAAGCTCAACTGTCGATAGCTGTAGGTAGATCTTGAAGAGTTTACCACAAGAAATGAGCAAATGAATCAAGGAAAAGGTGCTCCATTGTTGCCAAAAAATGGTCATACTATCTAATCAGCATAGTTTCCTCAACACATCACTTTCCATATTTATTCAAACTTCTATTAAAACAGATCAGCAACTTGCGCTATGAAATCCAACAAGAAAGAACAAATCTTTTGCAGAAACAGAGTGTTCCCCATAGTCCCTTTTGCTTTTTCAGAAGTCAATATTTTGTTGGAAACAAATATTCACTGAAAATCTTATTCCCCAGCAAACTTTGGTCTATCAGTTCAATAGACTGTTATGTTAAATCAAGTTGTTTATATCCTCCCTAGGTTCAGATTAGAGCCAACCATGCAGTCATAACCTGGTCATGTATGCCCTCCTTCTCTGAGTTCAAGACTCCTAAATGCCTGTTTCCCTAACCATGGTCATATCTCAGACAGAGGAACTAACTGCTTAAAACCAGAACTGATAATCAGTCAAGCTAGGTCAAACAAAGAGCAGTAGTGCACACACATGATTTTGTAGATGCTGGCATCTCTTGAACGACCAAAATAAGTGGTTAAAAAAACAATATGAACATCGTAATGTTTCATGCAAATGGAAATGAGATGACAAAATCAGCAGTTAAGGATTGGTACACAAACTTGTTAAACATCAAGAATGGCATTCCTCCAAAGGACTAGTTCTTACAACACAGAAACAGCCTGATTACCAAACAATGACCTGTTCTTCCGCATGTACAAAAGCATAAGAAAGAGTGGTAACATCCTGTTAAACAACAATTCAGTACTGAATTAGGCATGAAACTTATTTCCAACTGATACTGCATTTACATAATTGCAGAGTATGTTAAACATCTATCTATCTTAGACAGGAAACATTGATGTCAAATAAACATTTCATTTTCATTTTCAGACATAAGGCTATCTATCACCGAGTTCATATAAGCCAATCTCAAAGCCTACATAGAAGATGCCACACTTGCTACAGCCTACAGATAGCAATAACAATTTGTGAAGCATAAAAAATTGAAACTATGAGGGAAGTAAACAAGAGCAAGAAACCAATTGTAAGAGATATTAATAAAATTGGTTAAGGGTAATATAGTTTCCCCAACTACATAGATCCAAGTCGAAATGCAACTATTGCGACTAGGAGGATGAGAAGCTGAAAGACTTGTCTTATCTAAATACTGAAAGCTTTAAAACATAAACATAGCGCATTTTTGGAAGCTCAAAACTCAATTAAGCATTTCTACTTATCACCTTTAACGGGATCATCAGATATCTTAAGGCCAGATTGATGGGTACGCCGTCGAGTCCTGGAGGGAATAATGTTACCCAAATCGACTTCGGCCAGTAGATCGTCGGAGAGGTCAGTATCAGTGTCAACATCAGAGTCGCTCCCAAAATCACTAGAATCATCATCGTCAGAGTCCTCAATCAACTTTCCCTTCCCCTTGTCATCCCTTAAAATCCCTTTTCCCTTACGATCGACTTCCGCCTCTCCATTGGACTGCTCATCTTCTTCATCATCACCTTCATAGTCATCTTCATCATCTTCTTCTTCGTCCTCTTCAACTTTTTTCTCCTGGGCGAGTGAAGAATCAGTAATAGAGAGTTTTTGCTTCTTGTTTACATCGTCTTCGTGAGATTTGGCAATGGCTTCTTCTGCTTGGGGCTTTCTTTTTAGGGGGAATGTATGTTCTTCTTCGTCTTGTCCCGCTTCTGCCATTTTGTTTTCAGAGGAACACCCCAAACTAGGGTTTTGCGCAGGGCCGGAAACTCCACCCTTTCAACTGCGCTTCCGCCTCCCTTTGAGAAAAGGCTCAAAATAGTCCTCGTGTTTGGGGTTAAAACTCAAAATCACCCTTAAGTTTTCACATGGAACATTAATAGTCCCTCATATTTATAATATTGGTGCACTTTTGATCTTCCTTCAAAATTTTGCCTATTTTTTATATTAGTTTTTTTCATAATTTATGTATGGAATATTTAATTGTCATTTTATATATTTAATAGAAATAATAAACCCATGTGAGAGATTGTGAGAAAAAAAACACTTTGTTTTGTTTAGTAGTAGAAATCATATTGCAGGTATAGTCGAGAGGTTCATCACGACGACTTCACGTACAATTGCAATATCATATGTTAAAATATTCTTAGTTTAGCTGCAGTAATATCTATACTGAACAGAACAAAGTGTTCTTCTTCTCACCTTCTCTCAAATATAGTTATTATTTATACTAAATATATAAAAAGACGATGTGACATTCTTTACATAAAATTATGAACAAAATTAATATTAAAAAATAGACAAAAGCCTAGGGGAGGACCAAAAGTGTACCAATATTGCAAACATGAGGAACTATTAGTTTTCATGTGAAAACTCAAGGATGACTTTGAGTCTTAATCCAAAGATAATGGACTATTTTGGGCCTTCTCTCGCCTCCCTTTCAACAATTTTCTTTTCTCTTTTCTCTTTTCTTTTTATAAATAAATAAAAGTTATTACTCTACTATTATTATAAAATAAAGGAAACTATTATTTAAAAGGATTCTGAAAGCTTTGTTTTAATGTATGTACTTAAATCAAAGTGCATGACACATTATGAATAATATTTGAAAATCTATATTTAGCCATAAAAATACTAAAATCAACTCAACTTATATTTCAAATTTAGAAAATAGATTATAAGTTATTTTCAAGTTGTATTTAACTACATTCTACTTTATTCCAAATATTTTTGCAAAAAAAATTACATATATAACCACATCTTCACTTTCAACTCAATAAATTTCAAATAAGTGAAAAATATCTTAATTGCTTTTTTTGGAGCTCTTTGTATCTGAACTTAAATAGTAAGACAAAAAATGTGGATCATGATTTTCTCACACGAATTTGAATTTGACCAAATCCAATAAAAATATTTGACACCACCAACACTAACATCATACCTAATAAAATTCACGAATTTTGAGGAGAATAGAGTGTGCATAGCCATAAACTAATACATACCTCGCATAGGTAAATAAATTATTTCCAAGAAATCTTCGACTCAAATACAACGAATAAATAGAAAAATGCTACTTAAAAAACATACAACTAGTAAGTTAAATAAGGTGAGGAATCACCTACTACAAAATAAGGTGAGGGATCGCCCCCACCGAGAGCCCAACCTTTAAAAGTAGGGGCTGAAATATATAAGTATAAATTATAGGAACCACATATTATAAGTATTAAATAACATCCTATCCCTTCTAGTTTTCTATTTACCAAAAATTCCTTAAAAATGATGTTTGCGGGATACATAGCGTTGTGCACGGGATACATTAGATTTGATACATTCCACATAACAGGATACATAGCGTTGTGCACGGGATACATTAGGTTTGATACAAAATAAGGTGAGGGATCGCCCCCACCGAGAGCCCAACCTTTAAAAGTAGGGGCTGAAATATATAAGTATAAATTATAGGAACCACATATTATAAGTATTAAATAACATCCTATCCCTTCTAGTTTTCTATTTACCAAAAATTCCTTAAAAATGATGTTTGCGGGATACATAGCGTTGTGCACGGGATACATTAGATTTGATACATTCCACATAACGGGATACATAGCGTTGTGCACGGGATACATTAGGTTTGATACATTCCACTTAGCGGGATACATAACGTTGTGCACGGGATACATAACGTTTGATACATTCCACATAGTGGGATACATAGCGTTGTGCACGGGATACATAACGTTTGATACATTCCACATAGTGGGATACATAGCGTTGTGCACGGGATACATGCGGGATACATAGGTAAATAAGAGATTTTTGAAAATTTTGAAATAAGTAGGGATAAATGAATATTAAGGTAAGTAAAAGAGTGTAGTTAAGTAATTTGTCCAATATATAAATCAATTGGACTGATTAACAAACAAATTAGAAACTAATAATTTACTCTTTACACTATGTGATTTATGTAAGTTATACATAATTAAAAGAAGTACTCCGATTAGAAATATAAATGGATGGATCATCGATGAAACGACATTTTTCTATTATTAATAGAGGGAGCAAAGAACGGATTTTGCTCTCTTTTACAATTAAAAAAATAAGGGTCCAATTCAGACCAATAATAATTTTATCTAAGTAAAATTTTGACTCACAAATCATACTTATTAATAATATAATAATAAACAAGACGACTACTAATTCTTAACACTTGAATTTGCTTAATACAAGAACCATAATCCAACCTAACTTAAGACTAAAACCCCTATCCTATGAGAGCCCTCCATTTGATTAGCATATTCCCCTGTGATTTCCTCCGTAACTTCATATTAAAGCTAACACTGAATCCATTTTAATTGTTTTTTTTTTGTGTTTATATAATACATCAATATTTTTATATAACAATTTAGATTTTAAAAGAAAAAATTGGATTGCCTTAAAATCTTTGAGGAAACGATTTATTTTGAGATAACCATGAAGGTGAAACAAGATTTAGATTAAGGGTCTGTTTGGAAAGTCCCTAGGTAATTGGAATTGGTGTAACAGTCTAATAATTACACATGCTAGTAATTACATTGACATGTTTGTTAGTCACAATGTAATTACATATGTCCTGTTTGGATGGACAATTGCAATCATAAAATTATATTAAATTTTAAAAGTAAAAGTTAATTATTAAGAATTAAAAAAAAGTTATTAGACAAATAAGAGCCTTTATAAATTATATTAAATTGAATATTTAAGATATATATTGTCTTTTAAGAATACATTAATAAGCATATGTTCTTAACTAATATTATAAAATATAATATTTATGTTTTTCAATGTAGTATATTTTAATCAAATTAATCATAAAACTAAAAGTACAAAATTTCTATGAACGTTAAGAAATGCATGTCTGACAAAAAGATTAATATTATAAATATCATGTCATAAAATTATAAAACATTTGACAAAAAGATAATCTATCAAGACTAACTTTATAAAAAACATAGCTTGCAATGTAAAATATCAAATCAATACTCTTAAAACAAATGAAACTGAAAATGCAACATAAGTTAAAAAAAAAAAAAAAAAAACTAACATAATACTCTTATGTCAAATTTCAACATAACATACATAAATATGATTTATTTTTATTTTTTTAAAATGTAAGTCCATAACTTTATTCAATAATAAATTCTACTTTAATTTAAAAATTAGTATACTAGTAAAATTATACTAATGAATTTTTTAGATAATACAAAAAATTGCATAGAATCAGATGAAGTAAGAGTTGAAAATGAGAAGGAAATGAAATATATATAATATTAAATAAAAATAAAATATTTTTAGAAAATATTAGAATAATAATAAAAAAAATATTAAAATGGAAAAAATAAAAATAGAAATAAAAGGAAGAAATTAAAAAAATTGGAGCCATGCCAATTGACCATGTAATTACAGGGGGAACCAAACAGTGTAATTACACAAAATTCAATTGATATTTTTATGTCAGGTAATCATAACAATTGAGTATGATTGTTTTAGATAATAAATGGTTGATATTAATGTGACTGATAATGAATTAGGCAGGAAGAGAGGAGAAAAGGTGGTTACGTCCATGTCCGATGGAATCAGAAGTTCCATAATTCATAAACTGTGTGATGGAGTAGAGTAGAGTAGTTTAAGTAATGAATAATGAATGTATGACGGAAACTCCAAAGCTAAAAGAAAAACACCATTGATTTGATATCAGAGCTTTTTCAACACCTGGCTTGCCTTCCCTCGAACACTTGCAAATTGAAGTTTCGACCGTTCACACTTAACAAAGACAAAGTGACAACTCCTCACCCACTAATATATAGTGAATGAATGAATCCAATTCCCGACTCCCAATGGATTGGCTCATCAACGTTGCACAAATGTCAGTTGAATCTGTGCAATGTAGTCATAATTGCACTATTCTCCCACCCACATTTCTCAATATCACTAAAAGAGAGGAAGAGAGCTTTTATTTTTTTTATTTTTTACAGATTGAAGAAGCAAAGCATTGGTGATGGCGATGATGGAGATAACCGAGGCGTATGGAGTGATGGCAGATGGAAATAATATTGTTGTAGGGGACAACAACAACAACAACAACAACAGTATGATGAATCCTCCCACTCCCACTCCCACTCCCACCAAAAGAAGTCGCAGCCAGAGGCGTAGGCGTTCTTCCCTCAACTTCACTTCCCTGGATTTTCTCTCACACGTGCCACCACCTCCTCCTCCTTTGCCCGCCGCACGTGTATGACCCTCTTTCTCTTTTTTCTTTTATTTATTAATAAATTGAAATCATAACAATTTCTTAATTTTTGGGGGAAGACTAGAGTTTAATCTTTTCTTTTTTTTGGGGTCCTTAGCTTACTCTATTTGGTACTTATAAAAGTAGAAATAATGTGTATGTATCGGATCGGACCCGACCCGACCAGACCATCACCTCACCTGTTAGCTTTCTAGTACACCTCAGGAAAGAGCTTATATTCTTTACAACATACCCCTCTACCTTGTTTATCTCACACTAACTTTTTTATGCTTAACTCTGTAAAAAGTATTGTAATTATTCCTATTTGAGTGTCATCTCACAAAGATCTTAAAGTTACAAGACGTCTTAGCATATATTACTTGTTGTCTTTTGGTTGAAAGACCATGTCATCGTGCTATTCGAGGTTCATAATAAGTGTGACAAAATGAGCCAAAACAACTACAATATCCATTTTATTATTTGTCAAACAAACGATCCTTTTCTTTTTCCAATACAAGTAGACATTGGATTGGCATGACTTATGAGGAAATTCTATATTCAAAAGTCCTGATCAAAAATTGAGGAATGACTTTATGGATCGATTGCAAAGGGCATAATACATAAGCATACCATCAAACTTGGCCTCAATTGGCAAGTAAGCGCTCCAACTTTGAAAGTGTATGTGCATCTAGACATCTCAATTGACAACTAAACACACCAACTCATTGTGTCTCATTGACACCCGACACTGACGTGTCACATAAAATTTTGGAGGTGTCTAGATGATCATTTTGTAATTTGGAGTGTTCAACTGACACAATGGAGACAAATTCTAGACATCTCAATTGACAACTAAACACACCAACTCATTGTGTCTCATTGACACCTGACACTGACGTGTCACATAAAATTTTGGGGGTGTCTAGATGTGCATACTCAAAATTGGAGTGTTTACTTGCTAGCAAAGGCCAAGTTTGAATGTATGTTTATATATTGTGCCATTATAAAGCAATAACTAAGTAGACAACACTTGCAAGAAGGCATAATTAAACACCCAATCTAATCTCCTTGTTGTATGGAACATGACACATATACCATGAGTACACTTCAATTCCGACCTTGCTGTGTAAATTGCATCGCTAGAATGTAGCACATACCGCTACAAGCGCACCTCAACTCCAACTTGTTCGGATTAACTATATGGTTCTTCTATATTGTTCCATCATATCCCATTTCTTTCCAATACTTCATACAATTTGTAAAACATGAATTCTCTTAAACTAGAGATTGCCTTGATCTCATACTTGTCCTTACACTAACATACAAACTTCAGAGCAAACTATAAGTATAAGAATAATGTTATTTCACATATTGGACTCATGAGAGACCAATAGGCTTAACAAATGTAATAGAAACCAACATAAACTACACATGTTGGCACTTGTTAATTAAATTATATCATTAGATATGTATTGGGTAGTGGGTGAAAGATATTGACAACTATGGTGCAATTATAATGCCTAAAGTGGCCGGTTTACTATCAATAATGCACTTACCTCCTCACCATGACCCAAGAAAATTCAAAATCGCATGAGTAATGTGTATTGACATATGGACTCATATGATACATATAGGATTTAACATAAATAGAAAACAACATAAACTACTCATGTTGGGGCTTGTTAAATTGTATCATTAGATATGCATTGTTGGGCGAAAGTTGTTGATAACTATAGTGTAGATATAATGGCAAAGGTATGCACTTCTCTAGCTCCGTGCTTTGTGAGTTGTGCCATTATTAGTGAAAACTTGAATAGCATGAGTGAAGTCATCTAAGGTCTAAGATTTATTTGAAGGAGTGCAAATAGAGAAATATCCTCTATTACATTATTTTTTTTGGAAATCCATAGCTGTCAATCAGCCAAATTAGAATCTAAATATAATGAGAGGCTATAAGAACTTTATTCGGGAAATAGCTAAGATGTTATAGTTGTGTTCTTACATGTTACTATCAGTGGCGGAGCTAGTAGTTTTAATAAGGGGGTTCAAAATCTGAGAAGTAAACACACGAATTAATGGAAGGGGGTTCGACATCTGTTATACATACCTAAAAAATAATTTTAACCATGTATAAATAGTAATATTTTCCGCCGGGGGGTTCGTATGAACCCCCTAAGTATATGCTGCCTCCGCCCCTGGTTACTACAGGACTATAAGTCATAAGTAGCATCTATAGATCTTGCTGCGCACCTAAACGGTAGGTGTGTGGTGGATGTGTGACGTTTGTGGTTGTTGTTTATGCACCTATCCCAAAGAAAGAAGAACGAATGATATGCTTCCCTGCCAATCATGGTTTTACCACTTGTTCCTGATGGATTGGGCTTTGGTCATTTTCTCTGTGCTCATAGACTTAGTTACCATGTTAATTAAGAAATTAACTTCTAAGGAACATTGTCTACCAATCAAATTCAACTACTTTGCGACCTGACTGAGTTCATCTGTTGAATTTGATTATAAGATTTTCTGAAGATCATTCAAGTAAAAAGGTGTCCCTTAATGGCTGTTGGAAGTCAGAAATTTCATCCACTGACCTGTTGTCACATCTGTTTGAGGAATTTGGAAATAGTTGGATTCCCATCAATGAATAAGGAAAAATATGAAATACCTAGCTAGCTTAATTATATATCCGGCCAGTCCACAAAGGAGCAAAAAACCTATATGCAATAATTTGTGGGATATAGGTATGATGCTTTATATGTAAAAGACAATGAAGCTGAAAATTTAATCATTCTATTGAAGCAAACTAATTGCAATGAACATTTTGGTCATCTATCCTTGGCAATGTAGTTCATTTGATACCCTCTCTTTCTGGTAAACAAACAATACATTACATTTTCCTCTTGAGATCACAATTGATCAGCTAAATACATTAATAAGTGTTGTTTATGCTTCAGGTACTTGAACCAACAGGGTTCAGATTTCTCTTTGACAAGCAGCTCCAGAACAGTGATGTCAGCTCCCTGAGAAGAATCGTTGTGCCCAAGGTGATGATATGCATTTAGAAACATTTGTTTTTAGTATACATTGAAGTAATAATTCTAACATTTCTATGCTGTGGTTAATTTCAGAAAGCCGCTGAGCGATATCTTCCAGCTCTTGAGATCAAAGAAGGGTTCCCCATCACAATGGATGACATGGATGGTATCCATGTTTGGAGTTTCAGATACAGGTTGGAGGTCGCCTTTTAACTTTCCAAATTTACTTGACGGAGTGATGTTTTGTAAGTCATGTACGTAGATTCAAGTGTCAAGACCAGAATATTTACTCTATTTTTTATAGGTACTGGCCAAATAACAGCAGCCGAATGTATGTGCTTGAAAATACTGGTGAGATCTCCACAGCTAGCCCTAATTTCTTTCCAAGTTTATTTACTACTATGCAAAAGCTAATTGCTAATAACAGTTGGATTTGAAACTTGCATTGATGGTCAGGTGACTTTGTCCAAACACATGAATTGCGCCAAGGAGACTACTTTGCACTCCACTACAATGATCAAAAGCAGATTTATGTAAGCTTGCTCTTTGGTGTGGCGTAGTTTACTTTGAAGTAGTTTGTCAAAGGCTATATATATATGGATATGTTTTGTGTATAGGGCATTGAAGCGAGGAAAGCTGGAAGTGGAGCCGTATTCCGTGGTTATGAAGCGGAGGACGTGATTTTAACTGATTATGCACAGGCTGCAGATGATGGGAATGGAGCGCTTATTATGAATGAACCAGAAATGGATATGTCCAGCTTTTACTTCCCTGCAATGGACAACGAGATGGGCATGTCCTTCATTTATGATACCAGCTTCTGGAACGAGCCTGCCTTCGATTTTGTAGGGGGTCCTATGACCTATTACTCAACTAATGTGTATCCAATGCCAAGCTTTGGGTCCATTGAAGACAGCTTCAGTGTTGATGATTTCTACTGAAGACATACTACTAATCCCATGCAGCCTTGTAATCTAATGCATACTCTTACCAGTAGCGTTTTGAAGCAAAAAGCTGATACTCCAGCTACTAGCACAAGAAACTTTACTAGTAAGTTAAGGTTTCTGTTTTGACTCTCTACTTTCTTAGGTTGGCTTTTGTTAGTTTGGTCAAAAACTCTTTACTAATAAGCTGGTGGAGACTTTAGAAAAGGAAAAATATCAAATAAAAAAAAGGCGCATACTTCATTTAGCACTAAAATGTGTTTGATGTTTGTCTCGTCTAATTAAAATATTTTACTCCAATGCAGGCCGAGGTGTTTACCAATTATTTTTACAAGTTACTCATGTCTTGTAGTTTTTTGTCTTAGAGAGGAGTTTTTTCATAATTTTGTTTTGTTTGGTTCAAGGTAGGAAAATTCTATCAATAAGGTATTGTGGCGAACTAGTTTTCTACATCTCACAGCTCATTTTCTGTTCTATGTGCTAGCAGCTAACAAGATTCTTTAAGTTGATTATAATTGCTCATTTTTTTCCTTTTGGTGCAAGTAAATATTGCTTCAAAAACTGATTACGCTATTCAGAGGGGGAATAGCACAAGAAATGAAAATAAGAACCTACAGATTAGGTGCAGGATAATACGATAACAGGGATAGGGTGGGTATAAGGGTCCCTGCCTGCCAGAGTCGCAAAACAAACTCATATAACAGTGGGAATTAGAAAAGGGATTAACCAAAATCATTCTGCAGCTGTGGCTCCGGAAAGTTTTTTTTTAAAAACATATTTTGGTACATTGGACAGTTAAAATGGACAGAGCAAACATATAGCCTCAAATATACTTGTTATTCCCATCTCGAATGGGAAAAGCTTAGCATCAAATTGATTTTGTATCTATTCTAACAAAAAAGACATCCGCAATGCTTAAGTTTTAGGGGAACTCCCCCTCTCCAAAATCTCAAAATCAGAGAAATATAAAATTGTAAAGATTGTTGAGCGAAAGAACACTCTCCAGCTTACTACGAAAGAGCACTAAAGAAACATCTGCAATCTATGTTTATTGTTTAATCTGGAGGAAGTCTTCTCTTTACTGCTTTTAAACTTGGTGAAGAATTAATTTGTTCTCAATCCTACACCTTCGCAACCTCAGAGTCAGCAGGTACAGCAGGAGCAACACCACCAGTTGTTGGCCTACAAATCGAGTCAGAAAAAATAAAGCAAACATAAAAATTACTATCTTAAAGTAGACTGATACAGGAAAAGCAGACAGGTTTAGAATGTCCAGTTATGAGTTAGAAGAAGACACTTACAGCCCAACAAAAACCTTGAAAGCATCATAGATTCCCCATTGAGCACCAGTAAGAGTTCCAATCATGACAATACGTAGAGGTAGACCACGGGTAAAGAGACCCAATACTCCTATCTTCTTTACGGCCTGAGGACATAGTTTTTTTGTTAAAAACAAACGGGGGGTGTCACATGGCAGATTAATGACTTGAGGAAATATAAGAAAATTGAAGGAGAAGAGAAAGAGATGGTCCAACAAACTACTAAATGCTTACATCACCAACAGTTGCACCCTTCGCATTGTTGAGGAATGAGACAAGATTGTCAGCAGGATGGGATACAATAGCACAGAAGACACCAGCTATATATCCACCAGCAAAACTAATACCAAGTTGCATAGATTTGCTGCACTCATTTTTAGGCTTTGGGACTGCATGCTTGTAGATCATCTCCACAATAGTCTCAAAGGACGCAAACTTCATCATTGTATCTGCAATTTTAGATGTTTAATTCTTAATGTCCAATAAATAATAACTAAACCAAGGTCACTATTAAAAGAACAACAGCACAACCAAATATGCACTACTAAAACAAATACACAGTGGTGTGATAAAATAGGCATTAGGTGAATTACCAACACCACTCAAATTTATCCATCCTCTAGAGCCTTAGCAACCAATAGCAGAAAAAACATCATGACATGGAGGACCCAGCCCCTTAAATGTACTGTATTACTTTATATCACAGAGGCCAGAGCTAGATTTCTTACATTCACCTAACTAAAGGGAAGCCATTACCAGAACAAGAAAGAGAGAATAATTTCCATCAGCAATGACAATTAATAACTGCTGCGTCCAAACATAAGCCCTCATCCAGCCATTTTACACTCCCAAACATTCTGGGGCCCAGAACCCAATTATAGGAACTATTGCACAATTCTAAATAAGGTGACTGACCCAATATAATAAAACAGACAAGGAGAAAATAATCTCTATTTGTTCTATTTAACAGAGGAAGTAAGAGGCTATTTTGCTCAAACAACTATTATAAACTAGCACAAGCTCTTTCTGAGGGTAGCGAGGTGAGGTTCGCATTTGGAGGTTTAATTGTTTTTTAAGACAGGTTCAACTAAACAACCATAGGCTTTATGAATTCTAGCAAACATAAAAAAACTTCACTCATTTGAGTAATCATACCCCTACTCACATAATTGAATTGCCCAAGTAATAAACAAGTTCTTCAATGATAATAAACAGATGGTTCCACTTACATGGAATCTGACGTCCCCAAAGAGGTACCAAACCTTTGTACAGGCTGCACAGATGTACCAAAATATAAAAATCTGTTCTATAAGGTACATATTAAGGAATGTGCAAAACAAAGATACATAGCATACCCCATGGGACCTTCAGATCTAACAAATTTCGGCAATCCATCTGACAATCCCCTAGCGAAACCAGGCTGTGTCTGAACACGAACCTTTACAGCTTCAAATGGGCAAAGAGCAATATCTGCAATCACTTCAGCAGATGCAGAACCAGCAAGGTATATCAGTGTTTTGTATTTTGCAGCATTTTCTGCTCCCGCAAGGTCAGAGTAGTACTTCTTGAAGAATTCATAGAATCCAAACTTGCATGCACCCTGAGCACTGTAACCTAACAGGGTAGGAACCCATCCCCTGAAGAATCCCCTGGGACCTTGCTCCTTAAGAAGGATGCCAAATCCAGATGATATACTCTTGTATTTCGCAGGGTCAATCTAGTAATTTATACAATTTCGGTCAGTTTAGATGCTTCATGACTAATGTAACGTAAGAAATAGAAACAATACAAGAAGATAAAGTTTCACTAGTGGGATTAGACTAGGTTTGTTGTTGTATAGTTTCAGAGATAAAGACAATCCATCCTCCCATGGTCGAGAAAAGCAAAGGGGATAATAGAGGTTGCACTAAGATCTGAAACAATAATTGTCCAATTAAAATCTTAAATAAAATACAATAAGGCGTCTTCCTCTCCTCCATCACAGAGGAATGGCCATAACACTACATTAAAAATTTAGATCTAGAAGATGAGCAATAATATACAAGTCAGATCGGATATAGAGAGATAAATAGAAGAATGAGTTGAGATCGTGTGAGAAATGGACAGATCTGCAAATGAGATGAACACAATTTGTACCTGCATGTTACATTTGACGAGATCGAGTGGAGTGACAGCCATGTGAGTTAGACCACAACTGAGGATGCCACCGAAGGTACAGGCAGCGTAGAACTGCGGGGAGTACATCTCGATCTTACCAGGTTCGGTAGGTGCCGGAATAAGGAGGTTGTTGTTGGCAGGAGGCAAAACATTGGTGGTTTCTGGAACAGCAAGGGTTTTGGGAGTTAAAGAAGAAAAAGAGGACGTTGGGGAATAGAGAAAGCTTGGAAGAAGGGACTGACGGCGGGAGTTCTCCATTGACAGAGATCGAGATCGAGATCGGAGAAGGCAAATGTAGAAACCTGAAAATCTCGTCTCGCTCTCCGAATACCTCCTTTTTCTCTTTCGACCTAAAACAATTTCCACTCTTTTATACTGCCCTGTCAACCATTCACTTTGCGTTATAATCACGGAGTGACCAATAATATCCCAATTTACCTTTATGACCCAAAACCATTTTTTTAAAATCAAAGTAAATGAACCATCCGTCATGTTAGGGTTCGTTCCGCATGCAATATGAAATTAATCGTCATATAAAAATATAATATGAAGCTGAAATTTTGTTTGTACATATAATTTAGATTTTTTATGTCATACGTTTTCTTAAACATAAAAAAAAAACTTATAAGTTGTAAACATTATTAAAATTGTCTCAAGTCTTTATACAACCTTACAAAATAAACAAAAGTTTACAAAATCACATATTATACTATCACAAAGCTACTCTAAAAATTATAACATTTATGGGCAGTCTTCAATAAAAGAATAAAATTGAACACAAGTTGTAGTGTCTAGTCTTTAATATAATTATTTCACATACTATGGACAGTTGAACTTGCATTTCTCTAGAGCCGTCAATATGGGCTAGGCCTGTTGGGTCAGCCTGGTTTAACCCGTGATTTGGTAGGGTTGGGCTACGATTTTTGGAGCCCATTTAAGAAAAAAACTTTTTAGCCCGGCCTGAATAAGCTTATCGATTTGTAGGGCTTGAGAAATATGGATAGGGCCGGCCCGTGGGCCAAATAAAAATTAATTAAAAAATAAAAATAAAATAGAGTATTAAAACTGATAGGAGTCTACACTCAAAATTTGTTTAAAGTTTGAAATATTACAATTTAAATACAAATTATGTTTATAAAATATGTACTACATAAAATAAAGTTCCTAAAATTTCTAGGGAATCACTACATAGCCTATGGAATATTATCATAATTTTTGTGTTTTATTATGATCATTGAAAAACAATTAGGTTAATATTTCTATTTAGCTATTTAGGTTTTTACTTGAAGCAAACTTAATAAATATTATATAGATAATTTTATCTGTTATTTGATGAACAAGTAGTAACACTAGTCGATATTTATGATAATATTTTTAAATTATAATTTAATTTAAAAAATTATAAAAAATATACTTTTAAGAAAAGAGGGTTGGCCCGGCAAAGCCCGTAGCCCACACACTTGTGGGCTGGGCCGACCATTTTTCTGGACCACATAAAAAATGGGATAGCCCGGCCTGGCC